TAGTAGAGAGAGAGAGAGAGAGAGAGAGAGAGAGTACTTCAATAGCAGTTCGAGCAATAGAAATGAACTTAAGGAGCACAGGGCCTGTAAAAAACTGTTTCTGGGTCAACTTCTCGAATCCATACTGAAAAAAGAGATAGAATCCAGCAATTAGCTAAACCTCCAGTTCAAAGGCAAAAGCATTTTAAATTCTGGCAACAAAAAACTGCAGAATTTAAAAGCGCGTCCAGAAAACCTCCAAATCAATAAGACTTTCAAGTTCCAATAACAATCCGTTGATACCTCCACAAACCCTACGACTCAGTGCTTTTAAGAGCCACACAAAAGATCGATAGCTCTGTAGAGAGAGAGCCATAGGAGAGTGACAGAAAGGCAGATAGGTAGAGAGAGACAGATCATGTGAGAATATGAATGATAACAAGCAAGAAAGGTCTTTAAGATTAAGACTGGTTACTGTAACATCAAAAGACTATAGAAGCTAGGGCAACAAGAAGCACGAGACGCTTGTCAGTTAGGAGCCTATTGTGTCACGATCCAGCAAGTTGACGAGTCAACCACGCCTTTTTGGGAGCGTGCTTTCTCCTCTGTCTTTGATGTTTCACTTTACACCGTGTTCCTTTTTCCATGACGTATTTAACCAGCGATCGTCGATAAACAAACCCCTAGTCACCATTCTACGCCATTAAAGACTGTTGCTTTGCTGCTTAAACGCGTACTGTTTCGGTACAAAAACCCTGGAATCTGTTATTTGTGCACAGAAACCCCATAGTCCCTTACTTATGCACCCAGAAACCCTAGAATTCACAGGGCTTTGCGCCATCAAAGACTTTCCTCCACTACTTCACGCAAAAAAAAACAAAAAAACGAAAAACCCCTAGGGCACTCCATTATTAATTCTACCGCTTTAAGCCATTGAAGACTTCTGTTCTACTTAGAATCCCTAGATCGCCACATTTAAGAACACACAAAACCTATAACTACCTTCACTCCATTTCCCTGTTGATTTATACGCCGTATTTATGGCAAATACAGGTCGAAAGACCTTAAAATCTTCAGCCAGAGCTCCGCGCCATGGATCCAGTGCCGTACACGAGGCACTTATGAGCGGGCAATGTGAAACCCTATACTTCGGCAGCGGCCCACCAGAAACCCTATAAATCGCGGCCATTGGAGACTGGGCCATGGCTGCAAGGATGAGATCAGAGCGGGCCATGGGTCACCAGTCTTAAAGCGCCATAATATCAATGGAGAAAGGGGCCTTCATAGTGGGCTGGAATCTGAAGCGCTCTCTCTGAAACTCCATTGATGAAAATTTAAGACAACTTTTCGGCTTTCAACGCTTTTTCCACTACCCATCAAATCACAGGGCTCAATCCTTACCTTTTATAAAGGACAAACTGGGAGAGCTTCCTAACCATGCGGAAATGACAATTGTGGGTTTGGTGTCCCATGATATATCTGAAACAACCCTAGGGCATTTTGAGAATGATTATTTTCCCTATTTTAAAATTAGGAGGTGGATCCGCTGTCAATATTAAAGTATCTATGTATTTAAATATATTTAATTATTTTTTATAAACTAAGATAAAAAAATATATGTGATACCTAAACCCGAATAGTATTCGGGTTCAATTGGATCTAGACCCGACCCGTTGGGTTCATTTTTTGGACCCATGCCCGGATCTATGTTGGGTATACCCATCAGCTCCCGAGCCGAGTTTGGATTCCATTGCCACCCCTATTTAAAACTTAGAATCGGGTTTTGGATTGGTCCTTTAGTAAATCTTGATTAGATTAATCATGTTTTGGATGAGTCCTCCACTTAATCCTAATCAAATGATCTAAATTGGGGATAATAATAAAAAGTTCAAAAGTTTCGAATTGGAAAATTTTGGGGATAGTAATAAAAAGTAGAAAAGTTTCGAATTGGGCATCTTTGGGGCAATGGACCTACATTCTCTATCACCGGATCTTATTGGATCATGTGATTTCAATGTGGTTGGTTATTAGAACTCTGATTATGTTTATCCACTTAGTTGTTGGGTGTGTCTTATGGGATTATATGTCATGATGATATTTATATTTAGTGTAATGGGTCACAATCACATTTAGTCATCAAATGTGAATCTAATATTTCATAATGTATTAAAAACTTATAACATATATATAGGAAAAGATGTGTGCATAGGTGCGTACGGCTACAGTAAACGCCCACGACCCAGATTAAATCTGGGCCAATTTGATGATCAAATATGTCCGTTAGTGATTGAATTTTAATTTGTTTTTTACAAATCCAAATCATTTAAAATTTTAGGCATTCGTCATTCACTTGATATATATATATATAGAAGATACTAAAAAACGCTTATAGGCGAATAAATAACGATTTCGTCTACTCTCATCACCATCCAGACTTTATCGCACGATCACAGTTGTCTGGTAGCGTTTCAATTTTCATTTTTCTTTTACTAATCAGAATGATCTAAAATTTGTTACTGAGGCATACCTAATAAAATATATGAAAAAAAATAATTCGTAAAATATAAATTGACCAAAATACACTTGTAAATTTTTGGAGGTATTTTGGTTTATTTATATTTTACAAATTATTTTTTTAATATTTTTATTAGGTGCGTCTCACTAAGATGTACACACGCTCCAAATTTCAAGTAATTTGGATTTATAGAAAAAAAAATGAAAAATTAAACACTACCAGACAACTGTGACCGTGCGATGAAGTTTGGATGACAGGCAAAATCACTGTTCATTTACGCCTATAGGCGTTGGGAAGAGTTTTCTATCTATATATATATTAAGTCATTGAACATGATCAATGGCCCACATTCAGCTACCAAATTTTACATTTAGTCATCATGGCGGACCGTGACCTCCTTATAAATAAATGAAGTCATGTTATTTATATTTTTCGTTCTCTTTTTTATTTGTTAAAGCAAAACTTAACTGCAATAACGCTATCCTGTGAGCAAGGGGGATAGCATACCAACTTAGCATGCCTTGGCCATCCATGATAAGGAATGAAACCTTGCTCATCTCACGGATTGCCACTATAGGCCTAATTTTGGTCTCAAGAACAAACAAGAAAAAAAAAATCCTTTTCTGTCTATATAACAAAAAAACTTTGATATTGCTCCCCTTATTATGACCATTAAATAATGTTAAACTCTATGACCATTAAAATTATAACTCAAATATTGCTCTCAAGACATCCAAATACGGCCTTACTTCCCACTAGCAATTAGTCAAACAATAAAAATTTGACAAAGAGACCCTTGTTTGGACATGCAAAAATAATATGTTTCTATGGGTAATGTATGTAAAATATCTTTTGGGATCTATGATTATGTTTATCTATTTAGTTTCTATGTGGGATTCAGGCAAATGAAAATTATAGACTTTGAAGTATTTCAAGTATTTATTAATGTGGAATGCTCGCAGGTCAAACATTTGATTGGCTCATGCCATTAGGTTAAAGTGTCTTTTTATTGGATAGCCAATTGGTCTTTTTGAAAATGAGTGCATGCTTATAAATTCGCCAATATAGATAAATGAATAGTTTTAAGCTGTGATGACCTTGGTTCGGAGGCAAGAGGAGGAGCAGTAGTTGGCAAGTAAATCATTATATGCTAGTTGAAAGTTAAAAACATTCATTACTGGACCGTAGGGGTGGCAATGGGCTGGGTGCCCTGGCCCTAGAAAACTAGGGTTGGACCACGATATGCGGCTCGAGGGCTGTGGCAAGGCTCAGAAACTATAGCCAAAGGGTAGGGCCGGGCTGGGTCTGGGCTAAGGTCGGCTTGGTTGGGTCTTCTTTTTCTTTCTTTATTCTTTTATTTTTTTCAATGTTATTTGGCCCAGCCCCGCCTTGATAAAGCTAAGACGGGGCTTGGGCCAAAGCCTTTTTGGCCTAATCAAGGTTGGACCAACCCTGTGGGGTTGGGATAGGGCTAAGGCAACCCAGCCAGACATGGCCCGTCACCACCCTACTTGACAGCCTACAATTTTGTGTTACATTGACATTGACACAAATATGACCGTCAATACTTGATAAAACTATGATTCTCATAATTGTCGATCTCAAAATTTTCAAACGCAACATATATTTGGGGAACTAAGATTTTAGGTAACATTAAAATATTACACGGAAGTGTCTAAATTTTTAAAGTATCAAATAAAAAATCAACCTAGGTATTTCAAAATGTGCAAAAAAAACTATAGACATATGTATCGATGTTACATGGCTACAGTGATAGTGAGCTTAAAGGAAAAACGCCTTCATACAAGAGAATAGACCACTTGAATTCCCACATGAGTTTTCTAGAATAATAGAAGTGATATCTATCTTCATGGCCTTGTTGAAAATAAATAGGGTATTTTTTTATATTAACAAAGTCGGATGACAAAAGAATAAAATAGCACTATTTACTTTTGACACATGGAGTTCCTAACCGCACTTGGCTATTATGTATAAAATGGGGTGGCTAGTGATGAGTGGTTGATTGTGCGCAATGTTCCAAAAAAAATTTGTGAAACTTTGTTATTGATTTCCGGCCCCGAAATTTCCAATACATTAAATATGGCTATGACCTTCCTTTTAATATTAATGATAAA